TTTGAAAGCATTGTGGTCTATGGAACCAAACTGAATCCCTTGTTTGTGGTGCTTTTAAGGCACGAGAACTCCAGCTGAGTTCCAGTTGAGTCTCCCAAAAAAACAAATTCGTTTGCAAATGAGTGTATTTCGCTGGAGGAACGACCCTTTTCCAAACTATACACAGCCCTATTCATTGTGCGTACGTATGGCCTTATTTCGCTTTACCTTCATCAGAATGCGTCTAATGGGCAGAGCCATTCCGAATTGCTGTTTGCATCTCCTGATTACAAACGGTTCACCGATAACTTCCAGAGATACGCGAGTTTTTCGCAGACCGATGAACCGGTCTGCTGAAGTGGACAAAATTCTCTCTGCACAAACCTTGTGTAACTTAACGGACCGAAAAACAGGCTGTTGGAAGAAATGGCCTCACGTTTGGTCACTCACCACCCCCAGTAAATTGTGGTAAATCGGGGTGGAGGAAGCGTACATTGGCATCTGGGACTTAATTCCACCATCTGCTCACAGTTTTCGGCAGGCACATAAAAGGAGCAAATCCACTCCTGCTGTGAGGGTGTGATGCAGACACGAGTCTCTCCCTTCTATTCCTACTACTCACGCTAGTTCTGGAGACCCGCCCACCCTTTCTTCCCACTCCACCATCTTATAGTTTAAAGGAACAACAGAACGTTGAATTCGCGAAATATTCGCATGATTCCAATGGGCTGTCGCTGGATGGCATAAGTCGTCCTATCGGCTTTGGTAGCTTGTTCTCCGGTTGTCTGTAGGATTGCGCCTTTGTATCATGGATGGTTTTGAGAAAAATCAACTCAACTCAGACAACAATCGTCAATAGTCCATCACCGGTATAAAGATCGGCACTTCCGGTGGTTTCGAACGCATATCAATTGCAGTGATTAAACAGCTCATTTCTAACGAGCCTTCCCATTATGCATTATGTGTTATAAGTGCCCTACCACGTCGTTACTGACAACTGCTAAACATCCATAGTTAATACATTGACAAATCTATAGATGTTCAAGCAAAGACTCACGAAGTTCGGGCAACGACCTCCCATTCCTAGTATACCCGGATTGAGGACATCAGTTGGAGTGGTTCTTAGAACCTCAGGAACCATACGCTCGTTTGATCTGCTTGAGGTTGAGTGGGTGGACATCAGGTAGCGGGACAACTGGTTGCTCGCATGTTCTGGCAGACGGCTGGTCGAAAGTTGCGTAATGCGATTGTTCCCTATTTGGTCCTCACGAAGTGGACGGGTGGTAAAGATCGGGTTGTCTTTGTTATTGCAAAAAGCTTCCGTCTGTGAGAAACGTGTACGCGCCGGAGAATTATGCGCCTGTGGAACTGAGCTCCAGTTGGTGTAGCTAGAGGCTGCGAAGGAAGTTCCATCAGCATGTACCAGTATAGGAAGTGCCCTTGGGTTTTCGTCGCCACCGAAAAGTTTGCCTTCAGAATCGGCCTGACAACTTGTTCCCAACTCTCTGGAAATTATCTGACCAGCAGTGGGGGGTGACTCGGTACTATCGTAGATACTTGGTTTTGGATGAGTCATTCTGACTGAGGGACTTAGTGGACCAAAATGCGGTATAATCATACTGTTGGTCTGTGTCAGAGACTTTATTTCCAGGCCCTCACCAGAGGTAGTTTTCACTGGTAAATTAGTTGATTTCGGCTGACCACCTGGGAGTTGCGTTGGGTTGTCTTCGTGATGGAATTCCCGAAGACTGCATATCATAGGAGGACTCGGACAGCCCGGCTTCACCAGCTTTCTAGTGCACACATCCTCATTCTTCAGCTTGTCGGCGTTTAAATCCGATGTTGTCAGAACGATATTTGACTTCAGTCCAAGTGCGCTAGCTGCATACTCAGCATGTTTCATTTCCGAATCCGATGTAAATGCCTGTGGAATGTTGCTAGTCGGAACAACGTATGGTGAGCTGACAGGCAACGGTGGGCTGATATCTTGCATTCGCACTGATGTTTGTTGTTGGCAGATAGCTGCAGCCGCTGCGACCGCAGCAAGGTTTACGGAGTTCGATAGAATAACCGATCGGCGAGGGTCTATGTTGTCCGTTTGTTTGCCGTTTTCTTGTTCCCTCCATAGTCCATTAAATTCCATCCGTGAATCCGATTGATTCAGGGTGAAGCTGGGTGAGTTGACGCTTTGCATCATTGTGTTGAAATTGACCAGTGACTGCCGGGATGTTTCATCATCAGGGCGAATGGTGGGACGAGGGTAGCGCCAGCCAGCAGCCGCAACTGCAGCTGCTGCTGCGGCAGCTCTTTGTGTTAAAGGACTGCCTCTAGACAGCTCAGGCAATAACGGTACTGTTGAGTGGGGCAGTTGAGAAAGAGAATTTGATGAGTGTACACAATCTTGATTGAGTGTGGCAACCTCTCTTCCACTCAAGTCTCCAAGTAGTGCTGAGTCAGCAGATGTTAGCCCATTTTGAGCTGCTTGCTGTGAGACCTGTGTGTAAGGTTGTGTCTGAAAAATCCCATTTCCTGTTCTTCGAACACTTTGAGGAATATGTGATGCCCCATAGCAGTTCATTAACGAGCTTGTCCCCAAATTTTGTAGTGAAGGGGAACCGCCAACCAGTTGTGGTGAACCCAGAAAGTTGGTTGGCACTGTCACGTTATGAGGGTAGGGAAAAGAAGCGTTGTATGAAGAATGTCCAAGAAATCCGGGGAGATTTGGTGGGCTTGCACCATATATACCTGGTGGGTGAACATATGACGGCAACGGTGGCTGCTGACCGGGATGGTGTATGAACGGGGTGGAGAACTGTCCGTGTGCATGAGGAACAGACGTATGCTGTTGTTTGGCCAGTTGCTTTTCCTGCTTTCTGTATTTTGCCCGACGATTTTGAAACCAAACCTACAAAAAAACGGAGAAAACATAAAAAGCGATTTGTTTCCAATTCTTACAGCACTTCGAAAAATCAAACAAATTTACACTTCCAAAGGTGGGCTTTGTCCCGCATCTGAAAGACGTGTACAGCCCTCTCGTCTTTCTTGGAAATCACCACCCGTACGTACCTCAAAAAACCGCTAACTTTCCGGTGAAAGTCTAAATACAACCGTGAATGGCAAACTAGCAGTCCATCATTCGGCCCCCAGTCACGTAATTTGGTGATGACTAGTTTCTTGCGTGGGTACTTTGGAGAGAAAACTTTTTGGCTGTTTTCCTTTCTGTGCATATTCTTTGTTCTGTGCATGTAGCGGTGCGAGTTGCCTTCACCTCTGAGCTACCCTAATGTACGTGAACCGAAGGCCGTTCAGCTGTACCATACTTTCGGTGCCTAGCTGCCATGTCACCCGAAGCAAGCACGGAGTCTGAGGTACTGCCAGGTTACCCAAGGCTAAATAGAATCAGTCGAATTACGGAGGTTGAGTTCACACCACGGACCTTGCGGTCAGTAAGTTTGCGCCTTAACCGCTGACTTTTCTCGAGTTCGAACCGAATTTAGTCGAAGGATGTGCCCTGGAAAATCCGGAATATTTGCTAGACTGAAATCCAACTATTAAGGTTGAAGTATGGCTGCTATCTGTATGAAAGATGTGCCAGTTAAGTTCTCACTTGCCCTTGTGTAGTGTGAGACCGTTAAACAGCCCAATGAGTTTAAAAATCAGACATGTCAAATCGTTACCTCTATTGTGCCGCTAGCCTCACAATACTGTCCACCACACTGAGGTATCAACTAGTGCTACTCTCGTTGGGCTGAGCTGAGATGTCAATTAGTGAATTGAAAGAAACAAATTTTAATTGAGAAATCCATCCTGTGAAACCTACAAATTTGTAGACCTATCTTCCTTCCACCTAAATGGCCGAGAAGGACGCGCCAGAGTAACCCCGAGGTGTTGTGCATTGGTAAATAATCCGGCTTAAGTGGCCTCGACTTCAAGTAGCTCGGAGGATAAAATAGTCGGAAATAAATCAAGAAAAAACATTCGTTTTATCCCGCCTCATTATCCTTACAGTAAGCATTGCTTTGTTTTTGAAAGTTAGCACAATGTCTGAGTGGTTTAGGCTGTTTAGGTATTCTGCTTAGGAAAGCTTGTCTTTGTAACAGAGTTCTAAGAAATTAGTTCTTTGAATAACAGGATTCTGCAAGTTCTTCATCGGTAGAAGTGGTTTTAAGAATGCTTCAGAACTCCCAGAAGAATGCGCTTCAGATTCACTTGAAAAAACCTAATTGTTAGCTTCAGTAGTCAACAAGTAACACTGGGTGTTTCTCTCTCAGTACACCGTGATGGTTTATGTAACTTGGATGAGTTTGTGCATTGATACCTACCGTGTCTCACAAACTGATAAGAGGCAGAGTCTTGTCTCTCTTATCCCTTAGCTCCTAAATTCAATTAAGTTCAAGATAGTCTTACCGAACTCGAGGACTGTTGAATAGCTACATACTCTTGTTATGTGAACCAGCATAGCTCGATCCCTGTCCTTTTCCACGTTGGTCCGATTGCAAACTGATTTTTTAAGTCTTCAACTCAAAATGGTTGACTTTGACGGTATCAGTTCGCCTATTCGGTTTTCAGACTTCCTTGGTGGGACTTAAACAACGTCCGGTACATAGGCAAACGGGAGTTTAGATGCACCCAAAGTATCCTCAACCTCTTTAGCGAATATACACTCATCTGCAAACTAATTTGGTTCCTTCGAGAGATTCGCCTGAAACCCAGCTGAACCTCTCGTTTATGATGTACTCAGGCAACTGAATGTGCTGCACCAGGCCGCCTCATGCTTCAGTCGCTACGATATTTGAAATATCGCGATACATGTATATATTTGTAATGTACTACATCATAAACGAGAGATTCAGCTGGGTTCCAGGTGAGTCTCTCGAAAGAACCAAATTAGTTTGCAGATGAGTGCATATTCGCTTATTTCGTGCAATTTGGTTTCAAGTAGAACATAAGGTTGACGGAAACCCGGGGACTGTGCCTACCTGATGAGCTCCAAGAAGGACGAAACCGGTCTTGGGCTGTCGATGGATTTTCAGCAACCTTATGGGTAGTATATTTCAAATATCCTCAACCTTAACAAAAACGAAAGTCAGTTGAGCGAAACCGTTTCGTCTCCCGACTAGGGTTGTGATTCTGGGAGTTCAGCTGGGCAATATAATGACTGAATTTTGGCAACAACGCAACGACATGATTGAGATTACTGAACGACAACAAATTTAAATACCTAATGAGCGATCATATTATCACCACTTAGTGGAAAGTTATTATAAATTGTAATTTCCCAAGTATTCTAATTTAGAAAAAATATATTTCCCAAATATACCTGAAAGATCATAGCCTTCCACAATGTGTGTGGAAGGATGCCCTAAATGAACCCAAATTAATTCATTGAAAATTAGCTGTCCTATACGATGCTGCCTCCCGCTGCGGAACTCCAAAGCTGGAACACTCCCCTAGAGGGAACATCGGCTCATGCACCGACGTTTTTCTAGCACAGTTGTTCCTGTGAGAAACTAAATCACCGGGGTCCAATAGACCTTCCATCACCAAAATGAATGTTACATTTACAGCCCCGCGAGAAATTCTCAAATTGAAAATGTCCTTTGTGGTTAGTCCAGATACACCATTCGACTGGCATACTAAAGATATTTTGTCTAGTGGTAACTTAGTAGTAGTAGTGAAACCTGCTTAGGACAGGAGTTAGGAGCGCCCGGTTTGGTTATGGTGACTGGACGGTTTTCTAGGTCATCCGAAGAGTCTGATGCGTAGTGTGCAGTCCTGTTGGATCACGCATGATGCTCGACGTGCTTGTTATAAATGGGTTGAAAAGGAACTCGCCAAACGTCTCCCTCGGGTGGGATAAACCGCCTTCGAAGAGCTGAGAGCATCTACGTTGACGTCTTTCATCAAACCTGACCTAATCGTTCTTCGGTAGCGCCGATCAACCATAACAGACGTAAGCATAATTTGGGTGGGCACGGAGTGTCTATGTGGAGTGTTAAGAGGCAGAAGTTTGGTACTGATGACTGTCCCCCTGCCATCATCTCAGCTCTATCTGCCATCGATTATTGTGTGGTTTTCTGGTTCTCCAATCGATGATTATTTCATATCAAAGAACATGCCTTCCTCAAGCCGCCAAGGTCCTTGTTGGATTGGGGCTCCCTAAGGTCACGGTAAATGACTTGAGCTTGTTCACCATTTTGGGCTCCTTATGAAATTGCAACAACTTTGTGTGGCACAGAGCGGTGAGTAAACTTTACCCCTGACCCTGTGTGAGGGACTGCTTGCGCCTGATATGCGAGTGTGTACTAGCACGCAATAGGCCTTGAAGAGCGTTCGGCATTGTTTCTTCTTTCCCGATTATCTTTACACGTACATACGGTGGAAATCACCTTGTCTGACTGGATACTACTGATGCCTTCGATTTGAACGCTTTCCTTGTTTTATCTAGTGTTCTCCTGTACGCCCTTTCACATTTGTCGTTTAGATTTACTTTTATGCTGGTGAACATGCTCTTCAAAAGTAGATCATAAGAGTGTACATAGTAAAGGCTGTAGAAAATCTACCAGACTTCGCACAGCCAACCAATGCGATGGGTAACTGACGAACACCATTCAGCCATTGTTATTGATAAACTCCATCCATTTCACATGGTATAGGATTGGTTTTGCATATGAATTATTGCGACGTTTTAGAAGTATTTTTGCGTGGTAGTATAACAAAGAGCTTTGAAGACCAAACTAACTCCCTCACAGTTACCTAGTATCCTGTGTTTAAACAGCGGCAGTTTTCATTGACAGTGGTGCTCACACGTTGCGTCTGTCATTAGCACAATGCATTAAGCCCCTGTTTACCTTATCGTGCAAGTTAGCACTAAAACATTTTCAGTACGTGATGAAAACGCTTTCTCATGCCTTCTGGTTTGCTAACCTACGGAGTATTCGTTTGACCACAATTTTGCTGGTCCTTCTGTCTCTCGCTTCAAGATGTACTCTGTTAGTTAGAGTAACAATGAATTCTTCCATACCTCAGCTAGCAAGCCGCACATATGATGTTTGCGAAATACACGCGTGCGCCTGTACAAGTCATTTCTGTTACAATCCGTTATTTTGTAAATGTCCGACTGTAAACGTCACATCACGTGAAACGCGTTGTTTCCGTTGAGTAAACTAGTGAACTACATAAGGCTGACGAAAAGGTGTCGCAACTACCTGTGAACAAACTTTTTTATTTAAGCCCGTCTACTGGTTGAGAACTCAGTTAATCTGGACTACCTTCACTATTCACTAGTTGCTGAAAAGTAATCAGTGCATGTTCCGACTGTCTTTTGAGACGACATTATCCACAGAAGAGTTTCGGAAACAATGAAATACATGCAGTTACGTAAGAAGATCACTCAATGAGCTAACGTACTTGTATACGTGCCTCATTCAGCTTGGTCATTCTTGCCAGTTCCTCCCGACAGTAGATATCTGGATAGTGTGATTTCTGAAATGCTGACTCCAATTCCTGAAGTTGCTCTTGCGAGAAGGTTGTTCGGTGTCGTCGTCTAGCTGGTGTGGGACAAGAAGCAGTGGTTGAATAGTGCCCTGTGTGATCTCCAAGTAACATTTTGGCTACACTACTCGCTTCATCATGCAAGACAGTAGAGGCTGGAGAACAAGGAGATCTCGGTGAATGCAAATGACCGGAGTTCATTTCGCGTTGTGTTGTCGTCTGGTGACCACGTAGCGTATTCAGTGAACTTGACAAGTTCATACTGTTCAGTATGAGTGGTGTGCTCTCAGACAGTGTGAGCGGATGGTTAGTTGAGCTGGGGAAGAGAAATCCCGAACCGGAACTCTTGAGCCCAAACCCCGTGAGTGACCGAACAAACGAGGACGCGGCTTGGGCAACAGATAAATTGTGTTGGGCAAACTCAAAACTGAACTCCTCAATCGGAGCCTCCAAGTTCAGCTTGGTTCGTTCAACGTCTTTGACCAAGTCTGTCGATGACGATACCCCGGACACACTGGTATGAATTCCTGTTGTTTGTTCTTCGGTGGACCGGGGAATCCTCTCTGAACTGTTGCGAATAAGTTGAGCTTTTGTTGCTGAAATTAGAAGAGTTGAGGAGTAGTCAGGTGATCCGAATAGGGTTGTCTAACTCGATCGGAATTTGATTTCTGATGAGCAGTTAGATAACAAGTTATCCGCTACAACAGAATAAATAAAGAAAAAATCCATCAAGTTGAGGTATTTCCAGGAATGATCAACGTGTCACGCATCATAACCGCACACGATTCACTGCTGTCAAACAGAACAGCAGGGTACATTGATTTTAGACTTCGAAAACGCAAGGTTAGTTTATCTCGATTGACGCAATGAATGAGGGTTTGTCATCCCTTAAATTCAGGTAGCACGACTTTCAAAGTGGATTGTATATGGAAGTTTTTTCCATTTACTAGCTCACTCCAAGACTCTACGTAGCTTCAACCTATCATCAAGATTTCTATTTATCACCTGCTTTTCGGAATTTATCAGGACAGTGGTGTGTGGACTGGTGCCGCTGGTGGGTGAGCGATAAAGCGCGACTGAGGCGCAAAAATAGGCGATAACTTTACTCGTCACTTCCGGTAGGTTTGTTATTCACGATAATGTGTCGCGTTTTAAAGATCCCAAGACACTGGAAAACGGGGACAAATGAAATATGGGAATTTACCACTTCTCCTAATTCGCAATTCGCTATCCCCGATGGTACTCAAATTAACCACGTTATCAAAAATGTCCCCATCCATACTTTACATCGGGCATTTAACGTCAAATTCAGGTAAGCAGAAATTTCCGCAGTTAGAGAATGCTGATTTAGCGGCTGATCAAGGTGAAGAGGCTGATCAAACGTAGTCTTCTTTAGAGGTGGATCCGAAAAATAATTGATTTTGGTGTTGTTAGTGTAAACCATACTTTCCTGGTAAACTGTACTTCTCATTTCGCATTCCATAGGAAACTGCAATTTCCGACCTGCATTTCCATGCAGACTGCCTCCTGAATTTGAATGGCTTCCGTCAGCTTCATTCCAGTAGCTGTTTGGTTGCTACCTTTTCATCCGCCCTCAGTTTCTTGTGAGAACGCTTTGCCCTCAGTTTCTTGTGAGGACGCTTTGAGGAATGAAAATAAATCACGGAGGATATCCAGCACTCAGTGAAAAGTAAACAAGATACTGTGAGGTTTCAACAATCCCAACTACAGAAAGGGGTAACTGATCTGTTCGGCATTTGACCTGTTTATAATATAGAATTTCGGTTAGTTACACAGTATAGTAAATATCACATTCTCCACTATGATAAACTGCTAGTCGGATAGGCAGTTTGGCCGCTCATCGGTTACTACATCACTTTGATAACCGTGAAATCGGGATACATACTTGCCGATTGTAATGATCTTCAGTCAGTTTCACTCAGATTTGTGCAATACTTACTGATACTTTTTCAGTTTTCGCCTCTACTAGGCACCCCACAGAAGATGTACACCCTAGTTCTGTATTATATATGGCCTCACATATTTGGAATCAAGTATACATCTTCTGGCACACGAAATCAGATCGTTGTAAGCACTCATGCAGCGTACATTTTCTGTGATATCCCGAAAATGCTTACACAATCCTCTTACCACGTATGATTTATGGCATCAGGAAAGCCCAGGTACTCAGTCGATCGCCTTAGAAAGTGGCTACAACAATGAAATGGTTTTTATTAGTGGTGGAAAAGGGACTGCACTATCCTGTAATGCAACATGCGCAGTAACTGTCGTTACACGGTTAAAATGCTACACCTGAATATATACAATCACATGAACTTTAACTTTCAGGTAGCTTTCACGTCGATCATCTGCAAGTGCAAAGTTAGAAGCGGTGGTCCTAGGTAGCATCAGAAAAAGCAGTGTACTAAGAGTACCCGGTGTACATTTCATCGCATGAGCAGCATTGGTCCAAAAACACATGCAAAACTATTGTTTGATCTAAACTACTCACGGAACTTGAAACTGACGAATCTGCGGAACATCAAAAAGCCTAGTTGCACGTCAGTTAAGCCGAGGACATAAATTTTTGATCAGCATCAATCGAACCAAAGACTTGCTCGGAATGTAGTGAGTCGTCTGAGTTGTCCGAGTCCCAACTGACCAGTCAAGAATGGTCTCATCTGGGGAGCAGTCTGTCACAAGATTTGCTTCTCTAAAGAGGGACGACTACCATATAATCCCAAACACAACCTGGTTCTAGCTTCTGCACCTCTACTGCTACAGATGCTGCTTGAAATGAAGACAGAAAATTCTAACTTTGTTGTAAATTTGTGTATTTCAGTCCATTTGGTCGCGTCTGTCGTGTTGATCAGAGTTTACTTTTTCTGGGTTATTTTGCACTGCCAAAAACGCTAAGTAATCTGATTAATCTTTGCTCCACATGGTGCTTATTCACCAACACTTGGTCCGCCCCACAAACTGGGTACCCGCTGTGTTTGTCCCCTGGTTTGTGGTACGAAACAAACGTTCTCAGTCAGAAAGGAACAAAATTCTCTTGTATACAGACAGTATAGTTTTACGAGTATTTGGCGCACCACGACGCTGCTTCTTTTCCTTTGCGCGTGGGAAAAAGATGTTCTGAGGCCCAGACAAATACAAAAGATGAGCTGCAACTATTTCCAAGGAGAACAGTGTCCCTTAAATTTGACAGTTTATTTATAACCTGATCATTATGTAACAATATTTTAATACCTGTCTGGCCGAATGAAGCAAGGGGATGGCAACGGCAAAAAGGCTAATGTATTAAGAGGCTTAAACGGTAGAAAACTGATGTTGGGTTGTCCGAGTGATTAGGCCAATGGTAAGCCAACAGAAAGCCGTTCTAATGACCCCTCTCCCCGTAACTTAATTCTCCGGCAATAGGAAAACAGTTTATCACTCCAATTGTTGCTTGTACACCTATTTGGTTGCAGACAATGAAACAGGCGGAAGGGTTCGTCACTTACCGATTTACTTGTATTGTCAGACGACCCAGTCGTGGCC